ATTATTCATAAACGTGCATTGGCTTAAAAAAATTTAACAAGGCTACACGTAATTTATTAAATGTTTCATATATTTTGCAAAACTTTTTCTCATAGAATAATCGAAAATAAAAGTAATTTGATATTCATGTTGTTCATATAGCAGTTAAATATAGATGTGACTTTCACTTTTCTAAAGGAAAACGCTAATTGGTGAAGATGCATTATCTTTATGCAAAATGATAATTTTACTTTTCTTGTTTTACATTTTGGCCAAAGATCGAGGACTGAATCTTTATGATACTAATTTCCGCTGCACAGTATGTATGTTTACAACATTGCATCTATCCTTTGAGGGGGAAAAACTTTATGTCTATACATATATCAATTAACCTTTTCTCTAGGCACGTTTTGTTTCTTATATAAAGGTCAATGTATCTATTCCTATCTTATAACATTATCGTTGTCTCACTTCAATGTCCAATACATGGTTCAATCCAAGATATGACCGCCAAACTAGTTAACCATTTTAACGATATCATCACAGATTGAACACAGTTGTGAAACATACCACCAAACAATTAATATTACTGCAGCTAAACAATTTCAATTCTTGTGGGAAAAAAAAGTTCTAATTAAGGGCAGCCTAAAGTCATAAAATTTACCAATTTTCAGAGCTCCAGCCAGCCAAGTCAACAACTTTTGCTAAAGCATGCCTCCATCTTTGCACCTTCCCTTGTCATGTGCAAATTTCTGTTCATGCTTTTCAAAGGCTTCTGCAAAGCTTCCTTTCTGATGCTAAACATCAGATGGATTTACATCATAAAAGATTGGAAATACATGAAGGCCCAATGCTTTCTTAGAATCAAGGATCTCTCGGAGTTCATCCAAGCACCATGTGGAAGTAGCATAGTTTTTAGAGAGAATAACAATTGCAAAGAAAGATTGTTCAATTGCTTCGAGTAGACTTGGTTTGATAACTTCTCCCCTTTCAAGGTCTTCCTCATCTCTAAAAGTTGTTATGTCCTTGTGCTCTAAAGCAGCATACAAGTGGTCTGTAAAATTTTTACGAGTGTCTTCTCTTTGAAAACTCACAAACACATCATATTTCCTCTGTCTGCAAATTGAATGAGAACCTGTTGAAGAGCACCCAACTTCTTGATCATCAAGTGCTATTTGTGAGAATTAAGAAGCTGAACGATTCAAAATATAAATACAACCATCAGCATTTGTAGGTATGCGAAATAAAAATCAAAGTGCAAGGCTAGAAAGGAAAAAAAACAAAAAAGGAAATTAAATGAGGAACTTTAGCAAATCGCGTAGAGCGATTAGAACAGGATACTGAAGAGGAAAGAAAGTGAACCAATTTTAAACCAATCTTTTAGATGGAATATATAGCCTCTTGCACAAATTCAAAGAAAGTCGTAAAATCCCAAAATGCCTAATGAAAGGACTATAAGGACTTCAAAGCCTTCGACACTAGGAAAATACTCCTACTCAAGAAAGCAAGAAACAGCGATGATTTGATGCCCTAGAAGAAGGAAAAAGATGAAGGTACATGACAAATGACAACAGCAGTGTCCTCGTTAATTAATATAAAGTGGAATCTTCTAAACTTAGCTAATGCGTACAGGCAAGGCAGCGGTGTTTTCTGTCTATATCTATGCAGTATATGCATGAACTCTGTTCTTACCTCTTTTTTGGATCCGTTCTCACCATCATGTATGATAAAAAAAGTTGTGGTTTTTATATTTATTTAAATAAACTTAATTCAATCGGCTCCTCACGGTTTGCCTTTATTTTTTGCCTTCTTTTATTTCTATCTTTTTGTTATTTGTAATGCCTCCTTTTTTTTCGAATACAACAGGCAAGTTAAGACAACTTGTGAAATTCAGAAAAGACTCCAAGAGCGAGTTGTTGGGAAATATCATCTCTCATGAGTGAGAGACATCTTGGATGTGCATTCGGCAAAAGTTGCAAGTTACTTCTCAGGTATTGAGCATCTTTGGCAAGGAAGTCTGCACATCTAAGGGCTTCACGTGGTACATAACACAATTCGATCTCCCAGTCAGAGAAGAAAAGGTCTTTGATCTCGTTGATTTCTAATCTGAGAGGGTGTCCATGCCATCCATCTTTGTAGATTAGATTGAATGCTTCCATTGAATCAATGTAGGCAATTATCTTGTTGAGCTTCTGCTGTTTGCAAATTTGGAGTCCACTAAGTAGAGCTAGAATTTCTGCAACCATGGGTTGCATGAAGCCTAGTTGGAGTTGAAATCCAAAGATCCATTGGCCCGCAACATCTCTAATTATTCCTCCACTAGCAGCCTCTCTGTTGTTGTTAACTGATCCATCTGTATCCAGTCGAACATATCCCTCTGGTGGTGGTTTCCAGTTGTAGTCATCCAATTCATCGAGCTTGAAGACCTAGTGCTTTAACTGTCCATATATAGTAGATTCCATCAGGTGAGCTAATCCATTATGGATAATTTCCTTCACTTGATGTCTCATATTTTCCATAACTCCCCTCTATTTGTTTTTCCAAATAAGCCAGCAGACCATACAAAACACACGAGTCCATATCCACCTGCTGAACCGTGCATTTCCCAGGTTATGGGACATGCATCTCCTGAGCCATACCTGCAAATAGGAGCAAAAGAAACTGAAAAGACGGTTAGGGTTAATAATTTCAATCCACTCATTCTGGCTACCTCACAGTCACGAAGGATGTGTAAAGTGTTTTCCTCTCTTAGACACTCAAAAGGGCACTCTGCACTATTTGTTAAACCTCTCTTAGCTCTGAGTGCATTTGTGGGGAGTCTATCATGAAAGACTTGCCAAAAGAAGAATTTAACTTTCTCTAGTACAGGGAGTTTCCACACTTTTCTGCAAGGGACTGTCACTGAATGTTCCACTTGTGCAGAGACAAATTTATAGGCTACCCGAATACTAAAGTTACCATCCGAGGCAGTTCTCCAGGTAAATCTGTTTTCTTTGCTATCTGAAGGGGTGTGTAGTTTGGCAAGGGTGTTGGTGATCCAGGGAGGTAAGAATTTTCTCCACTTATCGACATTCCACATACCATTGGGAAGTAAAAAGTCTTTCACCTTATCACAAGGCTCCAAGGTATGGAGCTTGTGTTCAGCATAGTGTATGAGAGGCTTATCAAAAGGGGACTAAAGGTCCCACCAGAGCTGGTTGTCTTCCCATCTTTAATGGCTTGTCCAATTCCTTTATAAAATTTGTCCCAAATTGAGGTGATGCCATGCCAAACTCTTAATGAATTTTGTTTCTTGCATACCCTTGGATAGGTTTCATCACCACAACCATATTTCCCTTTAAGACATCTCACCCATAAGGCTTCAAGCTTGGTAAGTAGGCCCCAGCAAAGTTTCACGATGAAGGCTATATTTTGGTTCTGCAGATCCTTGATGCCAAGTCCTCCTTCTTTCTTGCACCGTTTGATTTGATCCCAAGAAATAAGGTGCATCTTTTTTCTATCTTGATCCTGGTTCCACAAGAAGTAGCAACAAATCTTCTCTAGTTCCTTGAGTACATTTTTTGGAAGCATCATAGTTTGTATCTGGTAACTTGGGATGGCCGAGAGAATTGATTTAATCAAGATTGTTCTCCTTGCCATGGTGAGATGTTTGCTCTTCCAATTTATCAACCGCTTTTGTGCATTATTGATAATTGGGAGGAAAGAGAATTTTGTAGCTCTTTAATGCAATAGAGGAACGCCCAAGTATTTGTCAAGGTCCCCTGTAATCCCAATTCCTACTCTCTGGCTCAAATCCCTAGCTCTATTGAAGTGTACATTTCAGGAGAAAAAGGCCGTGGATATAGCTAGACTGATTCTATGTCCAGACGCCTCACAGAATTCTTTCATGGTATTTCGCATCACATCCATTTGTTCAGTGGAAGTTTTACCAAAGAGGAGCAGATCGTCCACAAAAAAGAGATGTGAAATAGGGGGGCTCTTCTTGTTGAACATTAGCCCTTTCCAGTTTCCATTTAAGAACTCTTTGTTGATTAAGTGTCCTAGTCTTTCCATACAAAGTATGAAAAGATAAGGACTTAAAGGGTCACCTTGCCGGACTCCTCTAGTTGGGGAGAAGGTCTCACATTCCTCTCCATTCCACAGGATCTTCATAGATGTTGAAGTGGTGCAAGCCATGATTCGATCAATCATCTCTTTCTTCATACCCATGGTTGACAAAGTACTTTTTAGAAAGGACCAGTCCAGGTGATCATATGCCTTTTCCATATCTACCTTCAGGGCCACAAATCATTCTTACCACTCTTCTTCCTCATAGTATGAGTAGCTTCTTGGGCAATGATAGTGTTGTCTCCACTTTGTCTTCCAACAATGAAGCTACATTGTTGTGGTTGGATAAGGTAGCACATTATACCCTTGAGTCTATTAGCTATGATCTTTGTTATCATCTTGAGGCTAACATTATAGAGTGAGATGGGGGGGAAGTCTTTCATGGTTATCCGTTTGTCAATTTTCAGGATCAGTACAATGTGGGAGTGATTGATATCTCTGATCTTACTTGGGTCTTTCCAAGCTTCTTTGATGAACGCACACACCCTGTGGCCTATGAGATTCCATTGTGTCTGAAAGAAATGAGCTTGTAATCCATCTGGTCCTGGGGCTTTGAATGCCCCCATCATGAAAGCAGCATTTTTTATCTCGATGTCAGTCACCTCCTTATGTAGGTTAGCAAGATCAGAGGGGGTGATTGGGGGGAATTGGGCAATCCATCTTGAGGAGTCTCTTACAGGGCAATCTTTTGTATATAAGGTCCAGAAAAAATCATAAGCTATTTTCTTTATAGCCTTATAGTTAGTGATCCAGTCTCCATTCTCATCTTGTATGGCATCTATACACTTTCTTTTTCTTCTCATAATTGTTGAAGCATGAAAGAATCATGTATTTTTGTCTCCCCATTGCAGCCATTTACACCTAGATTTCTAGCACTAGATGAGTTCTTCTTGGGCTACTAATTTAGTATAATCCTACCAGAGCTCTTTCTCCAGACAAAACAATCCATTGGAATTATTATTTTTCCTTGCCCAATTGATGCCTTCAATTCTTTTCAGAATAGCACGCTTCCGTTTAGGAATACTACCTATGAAATTTTTGTTCCATTCGGTAGCCTCCTCCTTAAATTTGATAGTTCCAATGCACCACTCCTCATTTTCCCAAGCACTCTTAACCACTTCAAAGAAGCTATCTTCTATTGCCCAAGCTGAGTAGTATTTGAATTGACCTTTCTTTTTGGCTCCCGCATCAGAGTTTCCACTGGTAACAACAATAAGCCTGTGGTCAGAATTGTATCTAAGCTTGTAGTGAGATTTATGGTTAGGATGGCTCAACTCCCAAGAGATGTTGCTGAAAGCCCAATCCAGTCTCTCCTTCACTGCTTGCTTTTCCCAGGTAAAGCGTTCACCCACAATCGGAATTTCAATCAGCCCAGTTTCTAAGATACAATCTGAAAATTGTTTCATAGTATGAGAAGACGGCGATGCTCCTCCCAGTTTATCAACCGAGTCCATAAAAGAGTTAAAGTCACCAATTACTATCCAATCATCAAGCATATCCTGTGCTATGTGTCGAATAGAATGCCACAAATCAACTCTTCTTATAGCTACCATCCCTCCGTAGACGAAGGTTATAGCAAATTATTCGACAGAATTGACAAACGCCACTTGACAGTGGATGAGTTGGGTAGTGGAGGAAATTTAATTAACCTGAGTGTTTGTTTCATTCCAAAGGACCCAAATAACCCTACAAAGCCTGACGCTTCCAATCTTATCCAATTGGTGAACCCCAACTTTCTAATGGCACCCTCAGCCCGGTTACCACTGATCCTAGTCTCCAGTAGACACAGAACATCAATGTTATTTTCTCTAACAATATCTTTGATGATGCATGGAAAGGTCTTGTTTCCAACAACTCTACAATTCTAACAGGCAATAATCATTATAACACAAGAGAAAGGAAAAAGCGAAAACTTACTCTTCAATGGGGTCATCATCATCCCACGTATTATTAACTTCCATCTTATCAATTCCCTTTCTTTCCATTTCTGTGACCCTCTCTATTACCAACCCTGAGGTAATCTGTAGAGTTTGGACTTGTGATTCATTATGGTTCCCAACTTGGCCCACAATAACTGAAGTTGATGGCGTTGAGGGGTTCGCTGGACCCTCTAATAATAGAAGCCCATTGATGGTGTCAGGGGCGTCATGCTTGGATGAAGAAATTGGGCTTGGGCCTAATTGCCTTAAGTTGCCTTCCACTATCACATGTTCTCTCCTGCCCACCCTTCCTTTGGGCTATCTATTTACACTGCTAGGTCCATTAAATAGGCTTTGTTCATCTCTCTCCTTCTTTTCCACCTGGGCCTTTATTACCCCATGATACGTCAATTTGTAACACCTCCTTTATTACCCCATGATACGTCAATTGAAACCATTATAACGTGTTTCCCAATGTTTCCTAATAAAAATTTTCAATTTCAAAATTTCACATTTAAATCTGTTCGTATACTGTTCATCTGAAATTGGGCCAAATTTGAAAATTCATAACTAATTCTAAAAAAATTCAAACGAGGTGATTCCAATTTTCAAACAAAGCTTGCTAAGATTTCTATAGAAGAAAAATATTCATTGGACTTAATTCCATTCAGAAAAGCACCAGAAAATTCAACAAGATGCACTGTTCATATGGTCAATTTTCAAATTTCTAGTATTTTAACCCAACTTTGGAAGGGCATAACTCTTAGCACAAAACTCCAAATTTGATGGTTTACTTCTTGATTTAAAGATAAAAATGAGATCTATTTTCCTACAAAATCTCAGGTCTAGATTCCCTCATTTGCTTATTATTTTACGTGTCACAAGATTAGCCTCTTTTAGGGTATTTCTATACCCTAATTCCATTTTCTTGAATTTATTTCCCTTTTCCATACCATTTAGGCATTCTGCCACTCCAAGATTCAACATTAGGATATGTCATAGGGATATAATTTACATTATACTACCATCCATAATTCATCACAACTTAATGTAAAGTTCATTAAAGCATCATATAACATTTCAAAATAACATCATGATCATTAAGCTTCTTCATCCCAATACCAACTCCTTGCCTTGATCCATAGGTGGGCCACTTTCTAAATGATAAATAAATTGACATAGGGGAAATGAGATTTCATAGAAATCTCAGTAGCAATTGAATTACAATTATCATGCAAATCAAGCAAGTTACAATGTGACATGTTATAGAGCTTCAAGGCATCCTCAAGTCACATAAAATTATGCTTAGTCTCATGCTAGGAGAGGAACATGAACACTACCAAATTAACACAATTCAATGCATTTGGCCAAAGCATAAACCAAGGTTATTCAACCAAACAGAATCACAACACAAGTTCCTCAATCCAAGCAAACAACAAATCACATTAAACAAGCAAGATATACAATCAAATTATAATTCAAAGCTACCTTTTATCACTTGATTAACTTGTTCTCCTTAAGGGATAGCGATCCTCCTTAACTTCTCCTCACAAAGCCTATTAAATCAAGCATAAATATAGGCTATATTAATAACCCAACAACTTAAACATAATCCTTAAACTTTAACTTAACATTTTCTCCCCCTTTCCTTTGATTTTAATAAAATGATTCCTCCTTTAGAATCAATAACCTCATGACTCATTTCTACACAATTTTTCATGAGGAATTCAAATATGGAATCATATTTTCAAAAATCAAACTCCTTTTCCATGAACAGTAGCTAGCCAAATAGGGGGTATTTATTTTCAAAAATTTCATTTTTTATTCCAATGATTTTAAACACTTCCCAACAACATATTACTACACAAAAAGACATTCTAAACCCATTATAATCATCAAATCAAGCTAAAACAATTTCCTTCAGCATGAACAGTAGCTGGCCGAATTGCTCCTTTAATACCCTAACTTGGTTTTCTTCCAAAAACCAAACCATACACCACTTAATCTTACTTATTTCACTTGGTATTTAGGGTTTCTATCCTTTCCTAAACCTTACATGGTCCAATGAAATTTTGGCAATATTTTCCTTAATTTGTCAAGCCAAAAACCTCAACTAACTAAGCTTGAAACTTAGGAATAGGGATGCTTAAACATACCTTGATGCTTCCTTGATGTAAGTTGAGTAATTCCTTGCCTAAAACACTTGAGAATTTTGGCCAAATGGAGATGGAGCTACAGTGGCAGAGTCTCCCCTTGTTTTTCCAATTTTCCAACATTTATTTGTATTTTGGGGGGATTATTTATAGGCAAATAAATTGCCACTTTTCTATGAATTTTGGACGCATAAATGGAAGAAAAATGGAGTGAGTTGGCAGCCATCAAGTGCCACTTAGCTTCAGATTAAACCATGTGTCCCAACTCCAGAATTTTCCAACAATTATCTCTTAATTTTGCATTTATTTTTTAATTATGTGGAGTGGCCAGCAAGCAAAGAAAGTGGCCCTTATTGGGCTCAATGTGGGCCCCAAAAATGGCTTTTTCTGATCCAAAAATTTGGCCCACAATCTAAAACAAAATCCCAAACCAATTTGAAGCTTTATCGGTTACTATTCACTAGTAACATTTTATAATTTTTTCAGACCTCAAAAAATTTATTTCTCTATATTATAATTCAAATTTTAATACGGGAACATGATCTGAAAATTTTCAGAATTTTTCTCCACCTCTAGGTATTTATTTTGAATTTTCTCCGATTAGGCCTTTCTCGGTGTCACTGCGAGAAAATAAATTCTCTAAAATTAATTCCTGAACTTACAAGGTCTAAAACCAATTTTATAAATTCAAATAATATTTATATAATTTATCCATATTTTTTACAAGTTTATTGAGGCCTCTAACTAATTAAAATAATTATTTTCTTCTGATTTTTTAATATTTTTTCCAAAAACCTCTGTTTACGGGAAATTCCATAATAATTTATCTTCACAATAATTTCACTTTTTGGACCTTAATTGAGTTTCCAAAACCTCTATATTACACTTTTTATATTTTTTAGGAATTTTTTTAGAATTTTTCTCAAATTTTCCTGTTTTGTCCTTCTTGGACCGATAATTACGAAAATGTCAACCCGGACCTTATCAGGGTTTCACACCAAAAGTTGTTTCATCCCTCCCTCTAGTTCCTACATTGGCCCTCATCCCAATTTTTAATTTCCTATATCTAGGTAAAATCTTCCGGGATGTAACATTATTTCCCCTTGGATGACCCTACTTAATTACGGAAACGGCTTCTCTTTTTTAACCTTACTCCTTTTCTTCTTCCTTTTACTATTGACTGTACTGTTAACGGCTCAAATTCAATATTTTGTAGAACTATCATTATAAATTGATAAGATAATATATAAATGAATTTAAGCTGGTAAAGTTTGATTTAAACAATCCATACATAAACATAAAAAAACTTTTAATAATAATTTATTGTTGTAGATCTAGTTACATCAAATTTTAACAATTTGTTCAGATTAAATTTTAATAGTTCAAAGCTAAATAGTTAAAATTATAATTAATGGTGATGAGAATGAAAGGTAAAGGAGAGGAAGACAAAATATTATAAGATAAAGAAGATAAATCAGGTCCCTTAATTACATGGCAGGCACTGAGGATAATTCCTCCATTATTAACACCACTCTTTCCTCGGTAATTAAGCAAGGCAATAATAGAGAGGGTTAAGATGCACACCAACACCTTTGAAATATTTTTTCAAGTATACTCAACATCCCAAAATATTTTGTGGTACATTTAGAACCCCGAAACATTTTTTAAGCGTATTCAGCACTCTGAAATATTTTTTTGCCTTGATGCTTGATACATCAAAAAATATTTTTGAGTGTTGTGGACACACCTAAAAAAAATATTTTGAGGTGGTAGATACATAAAAAAATACTTTACGGTAATTAATGCACCTAAAAAAATATTTTTAAAATGTTAACTGTATTATAAATAATTTAAAATGTTAGATATACTCAAAATATACTTTGAGATGGAATGGCCATTATTGATAAATAAAGTAAAAGATTGCCATAGAAAGTGCCCCACCTTTTTCGAAAGGCAAAGACATTATATTGACCCCATGAGATGACTTTGACCGCTATCAAAATTTAGGATTCCAATGGAAAGCCTAATATTTTTCATAAAAAAGTATGAAAATAATTTTTACACTAAAAAAAAATACTACCCCCGGTCCTAATTATAAGAGCTAGTTGATTAATTTGAGGAGATTAAAGAAAGAAGTTAAGTTAGTTATTTGTAATAAATAGGTGTTTCCTTTTCTAAAATATCCTTGCTAGTCAAATGTATTGGTTAAAACTATCATTGTTACAAACTACCTTGAGAAAAAATGTATAAATATGAGAAATAAAGTAGATTAGGATCCAAATAAAAATCAAATAATGTCTTATGTTAAGGACAAGAGGTAGTACTTTTAATAAAAAGGTGACTGTTTTGCAGCTGCTTATGGCTCCACGCTTTCCTCCCTCCTTTGTCGTCATAAGCATAATCAGAATGATAATTTTTTTTTTAAAAAAAGTTACCACATAAAGTATGGAAATTAACATTCCAAAAAAAAAAAAAAAACTC